GTGGGAAATGATTGAGACACGTAGCCAGGAGGGAACCGAATAGAAAAAGGGTTGAGTGTCCTTCCCTCTCTTTGGCAATCGGTGGCGTAGCGGGGGACGTCTCACAGGGGCTTATGACATCTCGCGACGGTAAAACAGGACCACCTCGCCTCTTACATTTAATTAAAGGTGTCAGCTCATCTGAGTGCATGGCTGCTATGCACTCTTCACAGGTAGTTGCAGTTCGACCTTTCGAACAATGAAGCCTGCTATGTATTGCACCACGGAACCGACAAAAGCAGAAAAGCTTTTGGGCTATTCAATGTGATGCGTATTGTCGTTGTCATCGAGCTGCAGGACTGTGGCCTAGCACATGTCAGTGAGATTGCTTCTTGGATCTACCATGGCTGCAGGAGTCCTTGCACTCAATACGGAGAGAACATCTTGGGAGCAGTGTCCAGAGCTCGAAGACGTGACTTCCGTCTGAACCAATAGACGCTTGTATGCAGCCATAAACTGCGAAGCTGTTGGGTTGTTGTTATGGCCGCCTCATCCACGTATTGATTCAAAGAAGTTTTCGGCATAGTCTTGACTGAGTTTGTGTGTCAGTAAGTATTTCAGCTGACCCTGTCTGACAAGTCTGTCAAACATTCTTTCCGTGCTTGCCATGCGTATCCAAAAACCAATGAATCCGTTTTATTTTTTTTCAGTCCTTCTGTCACTGCCGGATCTCTCAGCCCGTTTATGTACGCTCGAGTCTCCACGAAAAAACGACTTCCAGAATGTTTTGTTCCCCTGCCGAAAGGGCGCTTTGTATGACCTTGCCAGCGGGTTCCTGGAGTTTAAGATGTCAAACAAGCCATCAAAAGTTCTAATAAACGTAGATCTTGTGCTGGCACCCTTAAATTGCGGCAGCTTCAGCTTTTGTTCACAGAAGTCCAAAGCGTCGGCAACTGAGGCAGTCGATCAGTTGTGCAGCATATCATACCTTCATTTTCTTGCTTTTCCCATTGGACGTGGACTTTCGTAAGTTTGTTTCCGAGCCACAACCCTTCTTCACGTTGAAGTGCCTTCAATGCCACTTCATAACCCCATTTCACATGCTTCCCTTCAATGTGAAAGAGGTGGTCAAAGCACTCTGGCGCGAAGTGCACAGAGCGAAGTGATCTCAGTCTTTCGCATTCTACTTCTCACGGCGAACGGCCCACTCCCAGAGGCTCCGCGTTAAGGGATCTTTAGTAAACCTGTAAAACAAATTAGGACTGTTATGTTTTGCACGCTTAGATCGCGTCAGCTATAGCTCCCTTTAGTAACGAGCGCGGAATGGCAATGTCGAAGACGTTTTCGTGTACGTACAGGTGGAATGTGAGGCCACACCTTTTTTCAACCTGTTGGCACATCCGTAAATGACGCAAGAGGCAACCATTGTAAACCATTTGTCTTTATAAGCCGACAAGGTGAAACAAGAACGGACGAAATCAGCAGCTTCGCGAGGGCGCTGAGCACGATTTTTGCCACTGGCAAGATGGCGGCGGCTGGCTTCACTCGCACAGCGCCCCTTCCACTCCAGCAAGTTTTATGTATCCTCCTTGCTGGTAACGCCCGTCGCCGTGATAATGGATGGATGGATGAATGGATGGATGGATGATTGATCGATAGATGGATCGATAGATGGATGGATGGATGGATGGATGGATGGATGGATGGATGGATGGATGGATGGATGGATGGATGGATGGATGGATGGATGGATGGATGGATATGGCTGCACCCTTTAGATTGGGCAGTGGCTAGCGCCACTAAGCCGTAATACTTAATGAACCAAAAACTATATTTTTTTCCTTAAAATGTGAGTTTGAGGATTCGTACTTTGCAGTGAAGAGTTTAATTTTCACTCGTGCCTTGACTTTAGCCACCAATCAGATAACCTCCTTCTAGTTAAGTCTACCCGCTTAAAGTCTATTTTGCCCTCCCGGTCCCTAAACCCCAGTGCTTTGAAAAACTCTGCTCCATCATCCTGAACTATAGGGTGAAGCCCTTTACAGAACATTATCAAGTGTTCGGCAGTTTCTTTTTTCCTCTCCACACGCGCTGCATACTGTGTCTACCCCTTCGTATTTGGCCCGATATGTCTTGGTTCGCAGTACTCCAGTCCTGGCCTCAAACAGTAGAGAACTACTCCGAGTATTATCATAGATCCTTTCCTTGGCAATTTCCTGCTTAAAAGTTCGATAGATCTCTAGTGCGGACTTCTTAATCGTGCCCATTCTCCACATGTCAGTCTCCGTTTCCTTCACTTTCTTCTTAACCGATAGTTCTTTTTGGTTTGGCCACCTGCTGTTTTCCAAGTATTTACCAGTCAACTTCCTGGTTCGCTTCCTCCATTTTGTATCAACATTCTTCATGTACAAGTAGCTGAAAACCTTCCTAGCCCAACGCTCCTCCCCCATTTCTCTCAATCGCTTCTCAAATTTTATCTTGCTGCTAGCTTCCCTGCCCTCAAATGATGTCCATTCCATATCACCTTGTACTCCCTGATTTGTTGTATTCCCGTGAGCTCCTAAAGCAAGCCTACCTATTCCACGTTGCTTAATTTCTAATCTTGCTTGAACATCTGATCTCATGCACAAGACCGCATTGCCGAACGTCAGCCCAGGAACCATGACCCCTTTCCATATTCCTCTCACAACATCATACCTATTGTAATTCCACAGTGCCCTATTTCTCATGACTGCTGCATTCCTGTTACCTTTAGTCGTCACGTATATTTCGTTTTCCCTCAGATACTCGGTCCCATTGCTTATCCATACGCCCAGATATTTGTATTTATCTGTTATCTCTAGCGTGACCTCCTGTATTCTAAGCTCACTACCTTCGTTGTCATTGAAAATCATGACTGCTGGTTTTTCCTTACTGAATCTAAAATCTAACCTATCTCCCTCATTACCGCAGATGTCCATCAATCTCTGCAAATCTTCCTTGTTGTTGGCCATTAGCACTATATCATCTCCGTACATTAATGCTGGTAGTGCCTGATCAATAAGTTTTCCTTGTTTGACTAAAGAGAGGTTGAAGCCCAGTCCACTTCCCTCTAATTTTGCCTCTAATCCTTGTAGGTACATCATGAATAATAAGGGTGACAGGGGGCACCCCTGCCTAAGCTCCCGTTTTACCTCTGCAGGCTTGGATACCTGTTTTTCCCACTTTATAACTACATTGTTACCTTTATAGATACCCTTTAAAAGATTAGTGACTACATGTTCCACGCCTAGTGTGTCCAGTATTCCCCACAATTCCTCTTGAACCACGCTATCGTACGCTCCCTTGATATCCAAAAATGCTAGCCACAGGGGTCTGTGTTCCTTTTCTGCTATTTCGATGCACTGCGTCAGTGAGAACAGATTGTCTTCCAACCTCCTGTGTTTCCAAAACCCATTCTGCAGTTCCCCCAGCACCCCCTCATCCTCTATCCATGCCTGCAGTCTTTCCTTTATACTCTGCATCACCAGCCTGTAGACCACTGATGTCACTGTTATAGGACGGTAGTTGTTTATGTCAGCTTTGTCCCTCTTTCCTTTATAGATCATGCTCATCCTGCTAAGTTTCCATCCATCGGGAACTTCACCATCGATTATTATTATGCTCACTGCCTCTCTCAAAGCCTGCTTAGACTTCAGACCTAATGTCTTTATCAGCCTAATTAGAATGCCATCTGGGCCTGTTAATGTACTACTAGGAACCCTTTTCTCAGCCCTTTCCCACTCTCGTTGTGAAAATGAAGCCATTGCTCCACTTGATTCGTCATTGTCTATTGTGGTGCACAAAGTACTTCTTTGTTGAAATTTTTCTGTCACTCTTGTTCTTATATATTCAATAGCTTCGTCCCCTTCTAGCCTAGCACCTTGGGCTGTAGTTATAAAACTCTGCTCTAGGCTCGTCTCATTTCTTAGGGAGTTTAGATGGTTCCAAAATTTCGCAGCTGCCTTTCTATCTTTTTTATGTACTTCTGCCAGCCACTGAGCTCCCTTTCTTCTAATATTTTCATTTATCAGAAGGAATGCAGTCCTTCTACAGCTTAGAAAGGTTTCCCATTTTCTTTCAACGTCATCTGGCGGTTCACCCCGCTGCTTAGCATGTTTGTGTTCCCTAGAGGCTTCCTGACGTTTTGCTAAGGCTCTCTTAACTTCCTCATCCCACCAACTTTTGGGTTTGTGTCTTCTTTTCTTAGGTGACTTGTCACGCGTCTTAGCAAGCTCTAGCTCAAAGAGTTTAATTAAATTCGTGTATGTCCACACTGTCTTATTATCCTCCGTGATTACTTTCTCAATTTGTTTAGTGGCTGTTTCAATTTGCCTTTCTGGATAAAAATTTTCCTGTGTCGGTCGCGAGCGCCACTACGCTGTGCTTGTTTAAAACTGAAGGCAGGCCAACTCCGCTGGGAGCCCGAGCATAGAGAAAGAAAAAGACAAGAGAAGACACTCCGCGAAAGCCGGCTTTAGGAAGTGCCGATTATGATAGTTATAGCGCGAGAACAAAACGACGACACAGAGACAAGAAGGACTACGTAACGAACTAGTGCTCTCACCAAACGTCAGAGGACGCAAGCGCAAAAAAAAAAAACAGTTATATTCATTGCAACAAAATTGTTTTTACAAACTAATATTGTACGCTCAATTTTGGTATGTTCTTTATACATAAAAACAATTTATTCAACACACCTTACGCGATTATTTCTTTTCAGCCGTACTGTCATCGAATGCTTTAGAAGATCTTCGGGGTCGACTGTATATTTTAAATGATCCCTTTGCCGCTCCTTGTTAAGATGGCGCCATCTTATGTCAACATATAAATACCTGTTCTATTTCTTTTTTCCACCTGAAAGTTTTTTTACAGTTTTTTGTGGCTTAAATTTAAGCAAAAACACTTGGTTACTTCAATTTTTTGTTAGATAACTGCGAGAACATGTAGCTAAAGAAGCAGACGTTATAAATTGGTAGAGGGCGGCTTCGCAGAACGGGATGCAATAGCCATCGACACTAGGCCTTTCTACTTTTGTTTGACGTTTATTGTTCGTTACTGGTGTTGTGTTACGCGACTATTACTTTTTGTTCTTCGCCGCGAAACGTTCCAAAGTGCAATCTGAGGCGCGCGTGTAGACTCGGTGACAGTTACGCTTACCATTTGCTTGTTCTTCACCCAATTAAATCTTAGTCCTTTAAATCTGATAGCTCCGCTGCAAGGCAATCCACTGAAGAGCGTTGATAAGCGGGGGTGAGTACGAAAGGTAGTGCTGCAAACGACATGGCATTGTTAGCAGGCGGGTGTGTCGGAACGGGCAGAATTAGGCGGTTAATATGGTATTGCTCATAGTGCTAATAGTGTCTAGCTTTGACGGCTAGCCGAGCAACGAGAGCTGTCGCACGTAGTGGTGCATGTCGAGAAGCGATTCTACGGTTTCGTTTTTATTTGCATTTTCGTCGGTCTTCCGAAGCACGGAGGTGAGCGGGGTGACATTAACCTTTACAACGTGACACATGTGCACCCGTGCATAAATCGTTCCGACGACTTTTGAACTTAAGCGAGACGTATGCGTTCAAGATTTCCACGTTTCGGACCGTTCGGGCGCGGGCCCAACGTGCGAAGGCTGCGTTTCCCGCAAATTGGGCTTTGTAAGTGTGCCTATCATACGTCTAAGTTGCTCATCCTCACTGAAGTGTAAAATATAGTCTCTTTAAATCGATGCACCTTACTCCAAGAACAGTGATGGCAATTTTGCCATCCTCACTTCTATAATAATAAGAATTTCACACTGAAATCTCAGTGTGCTGTTATAGATTGCAATGTGTAAGTTTTGAATTTTGACAACCTTGACACAACGCGATTTCCATAAACTTGTGGTGTCAAGTTCTAAGCCCTTGAAGAGGACAGTACATAAATTTCACCAGATGGTGTCTGCTAGGACTGCATACGTTTGAGTAGATGTCAAAACTTCAAGGTGACACTGCCACATGCTTTTTCATGTTGCACACCTTCTTGTATGCGTGGTTATTTAGTGTTTCCTGAAATGCAAATTTAGTAATGCAAGCAAAATCTTTCTAGTCCCTTTCTAGTTCATTATTTAACGTCTTGTCTCTTTCTCTCCTTCTACAGGTTGGTTTAGCTGTGACAGAGCTGTTTAAAAAAAATACAAAGGCATCCACGGAAAGTTTGTAAGCATGAAGTGATTTTTTTATTGTATTCTGCACTTATGGTATTTTCTGCGCACAACACTATGCTCACACCATAACGTGCCGTAAAAGTTGGTCTATAGTCTTATTCTATGATTTTTTTCGGATGTGAGTAGTTGTATTAAATGCAAATTTAGTCATGTGCATCAAAATTTGATCATACACTTGAGATTATTGCAATTGGGAAAGAACACTATAGGTGTACTTGCTTAGTGCAAGTGTCACTGATCCCGTTAAATTAGGGAGGCGATCGCCGGGCTAATTCCAAGGGCCGAAGTATCGGCCCCCCGAACCGCACCACGGAAGCGTGGACAATCTAGAAGTGGCCCTATTTGGTGTGCCAGCGGACGCCCGCTGTGGTCCAAAGAACAAGTCAGAGCCGAGAGTTGATAAACAAAACAAAATTATATGCTCAGTTATGGCAGATCAAAACGATACACAAGTATGCACACTCGAAAATAGTGAAATACAGTATGTCACCAATCAAACAATGTACTACACAGTACAATCAGCCACACTCGAAACAACGGACACAGACAACAATACGCACTACAATGCAGTCGCATGCATCGAACAACCAAGACACTTAAAGACTAAAGAGTTAGAAAACTTATTCAGTCCAAAGTTCTTGCGACAAAAGTCTGGATGATACTCTTCCAAGAATCACTCACTCAAAGTCCAGCGTTGTTGTCGTTCCGCTGCCCCCGAAGTTTCTCTTCCAGGAAACCTCGAGTCTTCAATTGGCCACTCTCCAAGCTTCTAACTTTTTCGCCGGAAACACGTTGGCTTCACACTTGCAGCTGTTGCCACGCGTCTTCGCTCGATAGCGGTAGACACACACTCTTGCCTGTAGCTTGAGTCGTCACCCCTCAGGTGGAAATCTTCTTCTTCTCCTCCTTTGTCTCGGAAGACCAAAGGCTCCGCCCACAATGCAGAACACCCTACGCACTCTGGCGCATACTTTCTTCTCCTGCTTTGTCACTACGGACAAAACCTTCGCCGACTACACGGCGGAATACCCTACGCGCTCTGGCGCTAACTTCCGTCTTCTCCTGATCTCCCATCTCTGCTGCTCGGTTAAATACCTTCCACGCGAGATTCCAGAAAGTTCTCATCATTTCGTCGGCGCGATACGCAGCGAAGGCTGGGGGAAAGCGCGAGATGGTACGAAGGCCGTCCGCGACGGATGACGCAACCGTGCATCACCACGCCCCTTTCCATCTAGAACGTTCCAGGGCTTGCTCGGGCGCCGATGAGAGGAGGTTCGTCGGCAAACCGATGCTTCCGAGGGGAGAGGGACGCACGCTCGGGCAGTCTTTGGATGCTTGTTTTCTTTATTTATCATTGACCTCTCGGCGCTTCGTCGCGAGAATTTGGCGGCGCGCCTATTTTGAGCGCTCGTTTTGTGACAGCAAGTTTATTTGGAAAAGTCCCATCCACAGCTGCATAAAATTGGCAACAAAAATGTCGATCTTTGCTTGTCACATCAGTGTTGTTCGATTGCTACTGCTTAGTCTGAAACTAAGTTGTTGATTAAAAAAAATGTGTTCTACACCCTATTGCATTCACTTCGTGTGTTTTCTGCAAGGTGTCTGTGATGATAATATTGCCAGATGTGCACACTAATGTCCTGCACATTTACATTGCTTCCCTAGGTCACGGTGTAAGAAAAATAATTAAGCTGTGGACATTCTCCTCCTGCTGCATCAGAGAGCCCGTCGAGATAATGTTCGACGTTAGTACATTTGCTGGCCCCAGTTTCATGGCACTAAAAAAGCGAAGGGGCGTTGCCACGATGGGGCCTAAAAGGACCAAACGTTATGAGGCAGACGCACTTTCTTCTTTTTCTTTATCTTGCTCATCCTTATTTCTTTATTACACCATGCACGTTAGCAACTACAGCTAAAAACGCATGCCGCATTTTTGCGAACAAGAAACATTACGCACGGTGAACGCCGCAGTTGCTTCCACAGTGTTCTGCCTGCAACACCTTTATGGAAGCTAGGTGCGCAGATCGTAGTCTGTAGTACATGTGCTGGCCGCGGCTACGTGGGGGGCACTGCAACGGGGAGGCTTAGAGGGATTGAGAGCTCCAAACGTTATATGGACACCCTTTGGGGCAGAGTGTCCACACCTGAATTATATTTCTTACACCGTGATCACCATAAAGGCTGTTTTCTAATCCCATTTCGGTGCGGAGAAAAATAGGTCTGTTTTTTGTTGTGGTATCGGGACGCACTCTTTGCAAGTCTCACTAAATGGTACGTGCATAGCATATGGTAACAAACCTAATGAGAGGAGACACAGTTCATGTCTGGTGACCAGACCAGGCAATCATTGTTTGCGTGGCTGGTTGAGAACAGTGTAATGCTCTTTTGTGAACACAGTTTGGCTGTTTGTTTATTTATTTTATGTTCAGTATTGCACATTTATTTTTGAGTTTGGAGGCTGGGTACGCAGAAAGTAACCTTCTCAGCTCTTCAGAACCAGTGTTCCTATGTGCTCCATTCAGGTGCTAGTACAGACGCTGATGTGTTTGCGCAGATGTGATGCGTTGATAAGCTGAAAGTCGTCGGTTCGATTCTATTCGCAAGGGCCATGTTTCCAAGAGGTTGAAGTGCAAAAGCACTTAAGTGTACTTAGATTTCAAAGCACACACGAAAGGGACACCAAGGGCATTAAGTCGAAGTGGACAATAAAATGCTATTTTAAAAATCTTTGCTGTGTACTTCAGAAAATTGTGCTCAGACAGGCAGGCTACTCTTGTCGAAATGCTGATGCGTGCAACATTCCATGCGCAGCTTCTCTTTCAGTATCCAAAATCTTAAGGGTCTATTTACCACTAGTCTAAAACATGTTCCCTGTCCTTTAGTGAGGAGCTGCGATGTCCATGTGCCCTGCCACTCTTTACTACACTACAGGGGGCATTACGTTTTATTGTGGACACCATATCCGGTGTGCGTGAATGACATTACATGATGCTTTCACTTGCACTTAGTGAGTTTCAAAAGTGAGCAAGCCCAGCAGCAGTGCCATGTAGCGATATTGAACTCGTAACACTACAGCAAGACGTGCAGAATTGCTCATTCACAATCTGTTAATTCCATCTAGCCCAACAGCCTAGTCTTGTAGAGTGATACTGAAACTAGTGTGCTAGTGGCACTGAGCAGCGTAAATATGAAACATTTAACCACCCGCGTCAGTGTTAGTGGCACCAAACAGTAGTAAAACTGACCACCTGCGTCATTGTCAGTGTTAATGTCATACTTTTTTCTCTGTAGAATAATAATGCGGAAATAGTGTTCTGTGTTGTCTCACTACGTGCTTTCAATGTGGATTATGTAGGGCAGTTTTTGTATCTCTGAGATTGCTTTTGGTTTTTTTCCTTGTCGCTCTTCTCAGGAGATTACATCCCAGCCATGTGGTGTGGGGATTGGAGCGAGCTACCACAGGACTCCATCCGCATACTGGGCGCACAAAATGGCCCTGTACAAGAGGTGTGCTTTGTGTCTCTCAGCCTTGTCATCGGTGCTAAAGTAGTGTTTAAAGAATTATGCGATCTTCCATTAAAGGGAACCATGTGTGGATGCAAAGCAGCGAGTGCTAACGCTTACACTGGCGGCGGCGTAGCGCCAGGAGAGAAACCTGGGGAGGTGCAAAGCACGCAGTGATGGACTGGTGTTTCCTACGGGAACATGCCAAGCGCTGCTAGTGGGCAATGAGAGACGGAAGACTCCGATTGGGCACATAGTCTCGCAGTCTGCTATTAGTTTGCGTGCACGCGCTGTGAATAGCTGTCCTACAACGCAAAGGAGAAATCTCCCACTGGCACTACCTTGGTGGTCAAGATGCAGTGCCTATATACAGAGGGGTCTGTGAACGGTTGTGCAGCTTGAGCAGTTGGTTTTTAAAGACGATAGTTTTTCTTGGGGACCTTCGACGCAAAAATTTTGGTCAGTCTGTCTGTCTGTACATTTGTCTATTTGTCCACCCTTAACAGTACCCTAAACGGCACCAAAGTGACCAAAAGATACTCCAAACTGTCCACCCCACCCGCAGCGCCCACCAATATTGCTCAAGATTCAGTGTTCATGCTTGTACGATTGTCAATTAAAAATCAATTATTGCGCATATCTGAGGCACCATAATAACATGTCAATATTCTGTATGTGTGTCTCTTACTAGAAAAAGCATACATAAGTAATTATAAGGATTGCAGCCTTTATAGCGCTGCGCTAGCCATGCAACGTTTGCACGAAACGGCAAGTGTTTCCAACGCTTTGCTAAGACAACACGGTGGTGGCACCTATCCATCACCTTGTGTTCTACAGCTTATCACCTCAGAGACGTGCGCGCACCCTGTTTTCCAGTATAACTGCCAGATAGCGCTCATGTGTCACGCATGGCAGGACTTGATGCGCTCGTTCGCCTCCGCTGCACTCAAAGCACTCTAACGCAGCCTCCAGAATACCATTCACCGATTTTTTTGCGCAGAACATCACATAAACGTTTTGTTCCCTCTTTCCAGACACAAGACTATCGTCTTTCGACGACATTTATGGTGTAACGTGCAGATACCGGGCCAATTTTTTCTCCCGTTAAAAAAAAAACAAACTCATACAGTCCCTGCCTGCGTAGGCGTCTGTCTGCGTCAGTCTATAGTAAAATAAGGGGGATCGGAAAATGCTGAGGAGGTGCCCTGCTTATAAGAGACATCTCTTATAAAAGACGAGAATCGTTTCCCGGAGCATGCCTCTTATAAAGGAATTTAACTTTACTTTGTTTTTACAATTGAAGGGCTTTTGCCAATCTCTCTCGGTGCATCCACATTCACTGAACACTTGGCTTTCTGATACACAGTTGGAGTGAATGAGCAGACTGGCAGGTGGATAGATAGATAAACTCTCTTATGAGACCACGTCCGGTACGGCAGCCACCAGGTTATCTTTTTTAATCCAGACACACGAGCCAGAGAGCCAGCCCGCGTGACATACGATGATGATCACTACAATGGTTTGGTCATACAGATGAAGATGAAGTACATATTCAGCGCTCACACTATTTTCCCCCCTTGGCGAAAGAGGGCAGCAAGTTAGAAAGGGTTGGGACGCCGAATATATCGTTTCAGTCGAGAGACGTGGGCGATCTCGGTGTGGCGGCGACGGCGATCAGGAGCCGGGTTGACAGGAGCAACGCGATAGTTGACTTCAGATGTTTGTTCCAGGACTATGTATGGACCGAGATATCGGTGAAGGAATTTTTTGCAGAGCCCAGGTACACGAACAGGTGTCCACAAAAGGACTTCGTCGCCTGGGCGGAACACAACTTGTCGCTTCGCGTCAATGTCGATTTTCTCTTGTCCTGAATGGTAGCAGTGTTGGCGCGGGCGATTTCACGGCAGCGGGCGACGCGAGCGGCGAACTCTTCCAGGAGAGATGAAGATGGATTGGAAGATGTGGACAAAAAGGTGGTGTCCAGAACAAAAGTCTGTACACGGCCATACACGAGAAAAAAAGGGCTGAAAGTCATCGTACGCTGTATGGCAGTGTTATATGCGAACGTGACGAAAGGAAGTATTGTGTCCCAGTTTTTGTGATCCGGTTGCACGTGCATAGAGATCATGTCGGACAAAGTTCGGTGAAACCGCTCAGTCATAGCATTAGTTTCTGGGTGATACGCTGATGTGGTCTTGTGGATGGTGTTAGAGGCCTGTAAGACTTCAGCAAGGACATGTGAAAGAAATGTCTTGCCACGGTCACTAAGGAGCACTCGCGGTGCGCCATGTCGTAAAATAATGGCGCGAAGGAACAAATCCGCTACTTCAGAGGTAGCACCAGATGAAAGAGCTGCCGTCTCCGCGTAGCAAGTAAGGTGGTCTACGGCAGTAACAATCCAACGGTGACCAGCTGGCGTAAGCGGTGATTGTGCGGCAGTCGATGATTGTGCGGCAGTAGGTATCGGCATGTTGGAGCGAGGCGAGATCTGTGGACGAAAGAAGGTCCGCCGAGGCAACTAACTGTTTCGAAGCAGCAGCCGTCTGTTTGGTCACTTTGGCGGGCGGTGACGAACAGATGGATGGTGACTCTTCGGCGCTTTGCGAGAGCGGGCAACGGGACAAAGCGTCGGCATCTTGGTGCTCTCGGCCTGACCTATATGTGACGCTGTAGTCATACTCTTGCAATCGTAGTACCCACGGCCAAGGCGTCCCGACAAATTTTTGAGAGACGATAACCAACACAGAGCATGATGGTCAGTCGCTATTGTGAAATGCCGGCCGTATAAGTAGGGACGAAACTTTTGTATAGACCACACGATGGCGAGACATTCTTGCTCAGTGATGCTGTAGCTTTGCTCGGCAGGTGACAGAGTAGGGCTCGCATAGGCCACGACTTTTCTTTCGGAAGCGTGGTTCCGCTGAAGAAGGACAGCACCGATGCCAAGTCCACTTGCGTCAGTGTGTAGCACAGCAGGTGCTGCAGGGTCGAAATGGCGAAGCACTGGACGTGATGTGAGGCATCGCTTGAGGGTGTGAAAAGCGGCTTCGCAGTCATCCGACCAGACAAAGGGTGCGCTCGTGGTCAGAAGTTTGTGCAGAGGAGTCGCAATAGTAGCGAAATCACGCACAAAGCGGCGGAAATACGATGCTAAGCCAACGTAGCTGCGGAGGTCTTTCTGTGTGGTTGGTGTAGGAAAGTGCAGTACCGCGGCAACCTTGTCGGGATCGGGCTCAACGCCATGTTTACTGACGACGTAACCTAATACCTTGATGCTGTGACTGGCAAACCGACACTTCTTAGTGTTGAGCTGGAGACCGGCCTCAGCTAAACACGTGAGGACTTTGTCTAGCCGTTCCCGTGTTGTGAGAAGCTGGACGAAAAGATGACAATGTCGTCCAGGTAGCAAAGGCAGGTCTTCCATTTTAATCCCCGCAGTACCGTGTCTCACTCATTCGAATGCGGCTGGGGCATTACACAGGCCGAAAGGCATCACATTGAATTCAAAGAGACCATCTGGCGTAGCAAACGCAGTCTTCTCTTTATCAGACTCGTGCATTGGAATCTGCCAATAACTGGAGCGTAAGTTGAGACTTGAAAAGTACTCGGCACCTTGTAAAGTATCAAGAGCGTCGTCAATGCGAGGCATTGGGTAGACGTCCTTACGAGTGATTTTGTTGAATGATCTGTAATCAATGCAAAACCGTACCGAGCCATTCTTTTTTTTCACTAGTACGACAGGAGAAGACCATGCGCTTGTCGAAGGCCTGATGACGTTGTGCGCGAGCATGTCGTTGACTTGTTCTTCTATAAGCTTGCGTTCAGAAGCCGACACACGGTAAGGGCGGCAGCGAATCACACGGGATCCGTCGGTGTCAATACGATGTGCGGTCACTGTTGTTTGACCCAGACCTTCGGAACAAACGTCAAAGCAAGTTTTGTGCTGAGGGAGAGGTCACTGATGGGAGAGTGGAAAGAATGCGCGTGCTTTTAAACTTGGTTGTGAACACATCAAAAGGCTCAGTGATGCTTTTCGGCACGTACTCCCATGTTGTCTAGAATTTAATACCCGTGTGTATAGTACTTACAGATTGAGGCGGGACAATTTAGGGCAAAGTGATACACATACTTTTGTTTTCGCCATCATCAGCTTGGTCACATCGTCGTAATTTTGACTTTGAACACATAGATCAGATTCAAAATTGTCCAGATTCGTCACTACGTTATTTCGAGCAGATGTGCATACCAGTCGTTATGCTAAGAAAATTGATGTCATGTTTGAATCTGTGTGTACTGTACGTAGGTGGTGACCCTATTTACTCGCGCAGTGATGGAAGTGCTGCTCCAATTGCTTCAAACTGCTCCAAAAGAGAAATGCTGCTTCAAAGTGCAATATTTGCTGGTAACTGCTCCAAACCTGCTCCGAAAGGATGTTGGCAAACTAAAAGGAATAAAGTTGAACCATGGGACTATCCCGTGAGCATAAGCGAAACCAAAAGCAAGCTGTATACACTATCATTTTAGTATGCTACTCAGTGGCGTGAATCCAGAAAAATCTGAAGGGGTGACGTATATGGGGCCATGGTCTCTAATTCATTTTTTGGGGGTTGTATTTTTATTTATATAGGAAATAATGTTTTGAAGTGAAATTAGAAAACCGAGCATGGGGTATGAGCTCGAGCAATTGCATAGTTCTATTCAGTCTCTTTTTTCCCCCCTTTTTTTCGATTTGCATAGTTCACAGAGCTGAGGAGAATTTAACACAGGTAATAAAAAGCCTTTGATTGCGCTATACTTAACTGTTAACTCAGTTATATCACATGATAAAGCTAAATCTCAAGTGCAACACTTCCAAGAGGTGTGCTCCCTTGCCTGAACACCAGAAAAGACTGTACTCTCTTGACTCCCCTCCCCCATGATTTACGCCAACTATACTGCTTGTATACTTCTTCTATACTAGCGTATAGAATGTAAATAATAAATATAAATATTTTTTAGATCCTTATGTGATGTTTTAGACTTCAGGAGTTGTTAGGAACATGCATCTGTTCCGATACACCAATAGCAACCCTAAGCTATAGCATTTTTTTCTGCTCCAAAGACACTTGACGCAAACATGCCCAGTGTCATACATGTAGGACGATGAAACTTTTTAGTGTAACTCAAATATTTTTTTCTGCAAAACTTGTAGGGTTACCTAAGGTGTGTTTATGATACTCTGTCCTCGTCACATGCAATTCTAGGTGATCGCTGGCTACAAATAGCCACGGGTTTGCAGTCACAAATTACTATTTCACGTGCATGTAGCTGAGAGCCATACCGCGATAAAAAAATATATAAGTAATATAGAGTCGAATTGTTCTCGAGGCTGCTATTTTTGTCGATTGTTCGTCAGTTATTCGGCGAGCAGTAACTTTTGTATGACAGTGATAGACGCTAATATGTTTGTTCGCGGTTTGTTAAACATTGGTGTCCTACACATAGAACGGCTCAAAAAACATTGTTCGGAAGAGTTTATTTTCAATTAAAACCTTTATCCTGTTTTCTGAGGTCATAAAAGCAATCATCTTGGGAAAATAAGTAAAAAACATTGTTCGGAAGAGATTATTTTCAATTAAAAACTTTATCCTGTTTCTGAGGTCATAAAAGCAATCATTTTTGGGAAAATAAGTTAGTTTTAATTTTTCTAAGTTTTGGCATATATGGATTGAGGCTGCTCCAAAGCACCAATTTTTTCTGCTCCAAAATCTGCTCGAAAAAAGCAGAATGTCGCTTCCATCACTGCTCGCGTAATTAACCCACTCACACAACAAACCCACCCTCCATCTTAGTCATTAGAAAAAGAGAAAAAACAAAATTTTAAATGTATCTGTTCATTTTATTTCTGTGATAGCCGGTGCTGCTGACAAACGAAACAATGTTAAATCAAGGCAATATATTACAAAGTGGTGATGCAATAAAAGTCAAAGCATAGTTTCGCAACCGTGCTAAACAGTTGGAAGCATTGCTAGGGCAGACGACCTCAATCAAAACTTAAAATTCGCGCCTTTCACGGTAGAGCATCATCTGTCGAAGGCAAGAGAAACTTCTTTGCTTATATCGCCACGCAAGCTCAGCGGCACGAAAACAAAGCGAAATGCCTGGCCTGCGCAGAAGGCGCAGCAGTCACAGCAAAAGCTAGAAGAGCGGCCTTTCAGAGCCTTTAAACACTTATTGGGTAACTGCTGCAAACACACTTGCTTGATGCCCACTACGGCATTAATAATGAAATTTTTTGGGTAGTAGGCCGGCATTCGCTATGCTATATTTTGCCAATTTTTTAGAAGCGTGGTATCCGCTAAACACTCGCAAGGAATTTTGTGCCAATTGTTCATAGAGTGGCTGACAAAGATGAGGAATTTTGTCTGAAGTGGGTATGTGCCACAGTTGATAGCTGTGACAAGCTTTTGCAATGGGTTCGAGCATTGGACGACCCACTTACTATGCTATTCGCATTTTGCGACGACTGCTTGTTCTTTCGATGTTTTAAAATGCTTTATAAGTTGTATGCGATTGCTTTCCCGACATCAGGCCTGCCTAAAGCAAGTTTGCCAACAAGTCCCAAGCACTGGCGTGGCTCAGTAGTAGAATATTGGGCTGGCACCCAGCAAACCCGGGTTCGAGCCCCACTGTGTCATTGGTACTAGTTTTTTTTTCTTCTAATTTCCCGCGATGTGGTTATGGACACAAGCAGTGGCGATGGCAGACAACTACCGTGCTGCGCGTGACCCGAGTTGTGATCTCATAACAGCTTTCGCTGTAAAAACAAAGTGCATGGTCTCCGAGATGACGAGTGCGAGCTTGTTTTTACACCGCGTTCCCGCTTTCTCGGAGGCTATGCAAAGCAAACCATGCCGACAGCATGTCGTGCACCCGCAACATTCGTGCGCCGCCATTCAACGTTGCCTTTTTGTTGTCTGGTTTGTCGTAGTGAATTTAGTTGGACACCTGCTGCGCAGGGCGCGGTCGGCCAATACACTAGCTACATGGCCGCACACGCTGCAGCATTGAAACTGAGTAGCCCAGCCCGACTACGCTTCGGCGTCGATCTGTGTGTGTTCATTATGGGAGAAAACAAAAGGAAAAGAGCTTTGGGCTAAGAAAAATATTTTTTGCACATTTCGTGGGCCTAAACAATCATGCGAAATTTTTGCTGTTATAACTCCAGTGACTTTTTTTTCTCCCTGCGTAATAACCCTCTCCCTAAATTGGCATCAACTTTTCTGAAAATAAAAAAGGTGGGTTCATTACGCAAGTAAAGATGGAACTATTGGAGTATGTGTATGCACCATGAGGTTTCTTCGTGTTGTCTAGTAGCTCTGGACTGTGTGCAGATGGTGTGCGTGTTAAGCCAATGTGGTCTCTGCAATGCTGCTTTTAGTTCCAGCGAGCAGCATGGGCTTAAAGTAATTCTGCGTAGGAAGGTGGCAATCAATAGTAGCATCGTTGCTGGAGTTGTCAATCATTAAAAAAAAGCCATGCAGTACACTTGTAATGATGCTCAGACACACTGCCTGCAGCAGACAGTTGTAAACACCTATTGCAGACTAATTCTTAAGTGCATTTTCATTGGTGGAATTCATCTCGTCTCCATGCTTTTCTAATGATTATCCATGTAGGCATAGCACCAGAGTTGAGTCACAACGGTAAGATGGCAAACCTTTGAAAATAAAAAAGCTAAGCCCTTGAAGGGACTCTGAAATGGTTTGTTGAAGTTTTGTCAGCGTTTAGGCTAGGCATCGTCAAACCATCAGCGCCCCAATATTGGTGATACATTGTGTATCAAGGCCGCTATGCACGTTTGTATCGTACCCTCCTCATCTCTGCCTGGCCTCCTCAACTCAAGAGGCACGCCAGCATTGGCTGGTGGTCACCGAGCTCTTGCGAATGCGCTCAAACATTCGGGCTTTGACTATTCTAGACTTTAGAGATTGCACTCAGACTGGTTGCACACAGTCTCGAAGGCCATCAGACAGAGAACCCGGCAGCATGCATGTCGTCTGGCAACTGAGACAAAGATAGTGGAGTAATCCATATCTGCTCTGACAGGGGCCCCCACCCTACCAGCCGATCTTGCTGCCGCGCGTTCTACACCTCATGACAGCAATCAGATCGGCTGCCAAGGTGACGTCATGTGACCAGAACATGTGGCTCTGTAAATGTTCGGTTTAAAACGTGTTTGACCTAGTCAGTGATCGCTGCAGCGGTTCACAGCTTCAAAGCATTGTAATCAATTACACAGTTACCGCAGATAGGTCAAATCGGTGTCTAAATTACCCTTAGGACGTCTATTGGTCCAATGTATTTCTACAGTGTCCAAAACTGCTTCAGGTTCCCTTTAAGTCGCAAAGGGACTTACGTGAATAGTAAGTAAACGCACTGTAGCTTTCAGTGGAGCTGGGTATGTGGGCTACACATTCTGTACGAGTACTCCGTGAACAGCGGACTGTATTATACATCTATCGGAGACATGATGAGTGAACTTTCACTGCTCATAATCCATTTTTGCCGAACTGTTTTGTCTGTCTGCAGCAGGATGCCACTAGTCTACTGTATACACTTGGTGAGTGCCGAGCATTTCTTTTTTTTCACCCTCTCACGTGAGTTGTTTTTGTGCCAAGTCAAGTGAGCAACACCACTCTCAATCCAGGGTCTCACCAGGACAGAAACAGTCATCTTGTTCGGGTCGCCTGTCTAGGTCCCTACCTTTTTGGGTCCACCTTTTTCAGCAAGGACTGTGAAATATGGCGAGGAGTTCAGGGATATACTTCGACCCTTCAATGTCAGTGCTTGAATTCTCTACCTTCTGTTATGTCTTTGTTCATGACTTGTGAAACCCGAATTTTGTGATTTTTAATCGCAAAACATCACACATGCTCATCTCTTGCGCCGCTGTCGGCAGAGGACAGTTTGACTTGGCAGAGTCGACTTTTATTACTGCATTATTAGATCTTTGAGGTGACCTATTTTCAAAAGTATTTACCCAATTTTTTTTCATAGGTGTGTGTAGGGAGTATTAAGAATGAGAAAGAAGTTGCGAAAGATTGCATTCTGCCCTATGTCAGCATATTTGCCTATATGAACATTTCCGATGGAGGCAGGAATGTTGTAGGCTTGAGTGGTCAGATTTGGGTGCAAGTTAAAGAACCTTAGGTGGTCAAAATTTCTGGAGCCCTTCACTGCGGCGTCTCTCATAATCATATGGTGGTTTTGGGATGTTAAACCCCACATATCAATATCTTTGCCTATATGAACCTTTGAGTCTAAACAGAAGGGCAACTGGTGAAAGAAAAAAATTTCATGTCCTTGGCTGCCTGGAGGGTGACAACATTTTCTGGCAAAAAAAAAAAAAAGTTGGGAAATGTCGCTTTTTGATGAAAAAGCTGTCTGAAAACTGGGCAGAATGTAAGTTTATGGAACACTCAATATTATAAAATATGGAAGTGACAGCCCAAAACTAAATGCATATTTGTTTTGAGCTGTGAAAAATGCATAACGGAAAACATTTGCTGCTGGAAATACCGTATTTATTCGAATATAAGGTGAGATTTTTTTCCCAAAACTGTGGTCTCAAAGTCTACCCCGTCTTATGTTTGGGGTAAAACATCAATTATTCCTTCAATGCCAGGAAAGGCGTATTGTTATTTTTTTTGCATGAAAATGTAAATAATTCAGAATATTTAATGCTAGTACATATTTGTGCTGTAACGTAATAGGTCATCGTCAGCGATAATTAAAAAAAAAAAAGCAGTCTGGCAGCAGTTGCCTTTACAAAATCAACGGCGGAGAACGTAGCAAGCTAGAGATAGGCAGCGGCATCCGGAAAGTCACTAAAAACGAAGAACAGCCTGCCAAAATTCAGTGCGTTGCAATCCACAAGCAAAGTTCTGCTCACTTTTTTATGTGTGCTTGTCTTTTATGTTCTCTTGCTCTCTTAGAGAGTACACTTTACCCTTGCTGATGTGCGTGCAGCCTTCCATTACTTTTGTTCTGCATGGAATTTAGACTACCTACGGGAACCTTTCTGTTGTCGCTTGTCATCATGGGACGTCGTCGTCCCTATGACGCAGCATTCAAATGGAAGGTGATAACCAATGCTAAAGCTTTAGGCAGCTACACTGCAGGTCGGAAGTACAGCGTCCCAGAAAACAATGTGCGTCGTTGAGGGAAAGGGGCTCTTTTTGCCTGCGCCGCGATGCGGCAAGCTTTTCGAGGACCACACAAGGATGTGTTTCTCGAAGTAGAGGCAAGTCTGACAAAATTTGTCAGCGTAACTGAGTCGTGCCTTTAATGACAACGGAAATGCTTCAGATCAAAGCCCGAGAGTTCGCAGAACATCACGGCATCTTCGAGTCGCAGTTCAAGGCTAGCCGAGGCTTGGTGCAAAAATATATGAAGACAGCTGGCTTCTTACTTGGAAGGAGGACTTCTGTTACGCAAAAGCTTTCCCGTGACTATAAAGAAAAGCTACTGTCTTTTCAACGTTGTGTCATTTGAAAGCCGGGAGAGTGCAACTTCCTCCTTGGCCAGATCAGGAACATGGTCGAGACTCCAACATTGTTTGACATACTGGCGGTACACACTGTACACGCGAAAGGAGATGTCAAGTTTGCGTATCTACCACAGGGTGAAAAATAGCGCAAATCACTGTCACGTCAGCATGCACCGCAGACGGGCACCGCAGACGGGCACCGCCTTACGTGGTGCTAAAATTGAAAATTTTCCTAAAGGAGGGCGCATCCACTGCCAGAAAAAAGGCAGGATTTTTAAGCCACTCGTCGTCGACTGGATCCAAACTGCGGCGTGCTGATGTCCCGGCGCACTGTTGGCTCGCCAATCAATGCTCGTCCTTGACGCTTTTCGAAGGGGTCGAAAAAAGTTACAAGAAGAAGCCACCTATCTGGTTATCAACCTTGGTGGCATCACAAGTCAGCTGTAGCTACTGGATGTGTGTCTGAACAAGCCTTTTAAGGGCAATGTGAGAGGCCTCTGCAGTGATTGGATGGCCTCGGACGATTCGGCCTTGGCGCCGTTTGATTGCTTGAAGCGTGCATCTTTATTGTGGCTCACTGGATAGCAGACGCTTGGCCAGTCATGCAGTGGTGGCAAATTTTTTCAAGTGCTTCATTTCAAACTCGCTCCACGGCACCGAAGATAGTGAAGTCTGAGCATGCGACAGCGATAAGGAAAGCAGTGATACTTCAGGTGATGGCAGCTCGTGATTATGTGGTTACAGGGCTGATTTTCGCGCACTTGAAAGGTGGGATGTCGGAGTTTTTTGAGAACTCTCACCCTATATTAATGTGCCATCTTTTTTTGCTTTCTTCGTTCCTTCAATTCCTCCCTCGCCTTATAATCTTGACCGCCTTATATTTGAATAAATATGGTACTAAAAATTGTCATAATATGGTACTAAAAATTGTCAGTACCAGTGTCTCCCCATACTGCACGCTCTTGGGTAGCCAGGGCTATTGGCTCTCTAGGCAACTCCTGAAATGTACGGGATTCACCATTGGAGACTTGTTTGCTGTAGCTTGCGTTTGTGTATGTACAGTAATACCTCATTAACTCGAAGTCGTAAAATCCAAAGAAAGTTTCGAAATAAATGGATCTTCTAGATAAGCAAAGTTGCACTAATCACCGTGGAAAATGAGCGCTTTTGAGAAAAATCACTGCTTACCAGCTCTTAAGCCTCAGGTTCCAATCTTTCTTCTTGTGCAGGTTTAAAAGAGAAAAAAATAACATGCAAGAGACTTTTAACCGGGTGGGTTTTGCCGCGTTGCCATTTTATTTAGCAGAGAAAAACTGCCTAATCCAAGTCTGCATTGCGGTCGTACTCGGCCTTAAGAAGACCTCATCCTCCAGCTGCTTGGCGCACCACATCAGTCGATCTTCCCCGCTGCTGCATTCGATGTTATTTCGAAGCTAGCATAGCAAACTTCTTGTCTTATAAGATGTCGGCATTTCTCGAGGTGGTTTGTCATCGCAGTCGCCTGTGCGTTCCCCTACGTTAGTGCCCGTTTGAAAGATTTCGGCGGTACTATTACTTGTAAGCTTGATGACTTCTTGACAAAGTTCCTCACAATCTGTGAAGTTATTTGTCTCTGCCATCTCCGATTCTGGCAAACTGGCGTCATGTGAAAACCCAGCGTGCGTAAAGCAGAAAAGCGCGAACTTGCTGCTAAGTTCTGCTGAGAATGTGTACTGCTCCCAGGAGGTCAAATTCGTAGCCTTTGCCGTTTTGATAAGACAACTGAATTCTGTGAAAAAGGCTCTTTTGGTAGAAGGCTCTTTCGGCTCTTTTGGTGGACTCCTAGCTTGCCGCCACTCATAAGTTGCTTCTCCTCACAGTCAGCGAAAAATTTGTACCACGTGGTTTATGCAGATGAACAGAAATCACCCCTCAAGAAAAACATGTGCACTGCACAAAGCGAAGGAAACAAACTACGCCAAGCATTAAGCAGAGGTGCCTCCCTGCTCAGCACAAGTGTCACATGACGTGCCACAGGGCTGCTTGACAAAGTTCATATGTCGCTGGGCTGAGACTTCGCACACTTCGCTTTCACGGAAAGCATCGACGTAGTGGCAGGTGTGGCAGCATCGCGCGAATGTTGTGAATGGGTCAGGGGGCGGCATTTTCGTTTCACTCCTAGTCAAGATTTCAAGTGATCCGCAGTCGGAGCCAAAAATACTTCGAAATAAGGAGAGAAATATACATTGGACTTGTAGGAATATTTTTCGTGCTGTGGAAAATTTCGACTTGACCGATTTTTTTAGATATGCGAGTTTCGAGTTAACAAGGTATTTTTGTATTTGTGTTGCACTTTTTTTTTTCCGTCTTCGCATTGTCCCAGTCTTTTTCCGCAAAGCACCAATATTACTGATGTAGATGTATTTGTACATGTTCCCTCCTAAACAACTGCTCAGGAGGTTCTGAAATCAGTCTTTTTTTCCAGGCTAGTGGACAGCAACATGAGTGCTGAAGTTCGTGAAGCAATCATGGTTCTTGACACATTGGCATACCATATATCATTCGTCCTCTTCATTGTAAGTAGTAGCTCTTCAATTATTTTTTGGTGGGGTCGTCGCAGCAAGCTCACAAGCTTGCGAGTTCCGAGAAAAATGATGAATTTTATAAGTCTGTTAGTATAGCCAGTAAAGCTACAGCGGTGGGACATCCAAGTACAGCTGTGTGGGCTTATCTTCAGTTACAGTGGCCAACCAATCTTCGGAATCTCTCAAATGTTAATATTAGGGACAGCATCGTTTTACCAATAAAAAGCGGAGGTACAGTGGCTACAGTGGGACCTTCTGGTATTGTCCGTGTTAAACTTCTCTAAAGTTGCCAGTTGACCACTTGTCATCATTAGTGTGCATGTGAGGACGTGCTGGTGTAAAATTATCCACAGATCAATGTTAAATGATACTAGACATACTATATTTACTCACATTATTTGCCAACTTTCTTTTTTCCCGATTTTGCTGCTCTGAGAATGGGATGCACACATTACGCGAGGATTTCGTAAACACATATAATATGCAGTAATCCTAATGCGTGTAGTATATTTTAAAAAATTATAAATTGGAGCACAAGGTATACTTGTTAATTTAATAAAATTAGCACATACATTAACCAGTGAGATTCGGTCGCGCAAGGTGTAGTCCAACGTTACTGGATTGTCTAGTCGTAATCACTGATCGAGAAGTCTGATTAAATATTATTGTCGTGGATGCTGCCACTGCCCTCGTGAATTGTCCTCTGCTGTGGCAAGCATGTTCGAGTGCCCCACTTTCTTCGAAGCTCTTCTCGACAATGCTGGGAGAAACTAAATCCCACAGCACTGCAATATCGGAGGACCTATGCGTTTGCACAAGTTTGAAAAGGCCTTCTTCAACAGAAGAAATTTGTATTAGCAAGCGTACACTCTTCTTCTTTCTCCCGCACGGACCGTTGCACGTTGAAGAACTTACGCTAAAGTTTTTGGCGGCGGCACGGTTCCAGTTTTCGTTGGCGAACCTTATAACAGTGATCTTGAATTTTAGAGTATATACAATTGCTGTAATTCATCGCAAAAAATAGTAAAAATGCGACGGACAAATGCCAATACCTAAACTTCCGAAATCAACCAAGTGTGCGTTGCAGTGCAGATGCAGAGGCCGAGGGGAAGAGTTGGTGCGACCAGTCCTTGCACGCCTCCGGTGCAGAAAGTTGTCTGTGTCGTGATGCGAGCTTGAATTCTCACGGTGTTAGAGATGGGGAGATAAAAGGTCAACGTTCGAACAGTTCCAGCTACAGGTTTGAATGTTAATATCTGCCGCAGTGGAGCAGTCGTTATGGTGCTCGGCTGTAGACAAGGTGCATATAGAAGAGGGGGGGAGGTGTTTCGCTATCTAATTACGCGAGTTTCTATAAAAAGCAACATTAAGGTACGGCATTTAAGGGACCAGAGTTCGGAAGAAGTCCTCAAAAAAAGGGACTCCGTGCCCACTGGCAGCCCGTTAGACTGTGCTCGCCTGCTCAGCGAGACGTGCCACCTGCATGCCGGTCTAAAGCATCCAAAGGCCCAAAGTCTCTACGTGTGCACCGGTGAGCTGGCTCGGATGAGTTGGGGAGCGTGAATTCTTCGAGGAAATTAGTTTTTTAATTTTTTGTGAAGCTGGTAAGATATTAGGGGTGTGCAAATTATGGGAGGGTGCAAAATATACGAGCAAATATTGTATTCATACTGGATATTCATACCTGAATGTTAATTAAAGCATGAACTGAAGCATTTAGTTAAAGCCAGTTCCCAGAGTTCACACGCTGTACTGCTCTCGACAAGTGTAATTAAGACTACTAGCTCAGTGGTGTTACAGCTTGTCAGGATAACACTTGTCATGAATACTCAATTACCGAAAATCACTGTCCGCATATTCCAGGTTCACCGACACTCGGGAACGCTTGGTACTTGGAGACAAAAGGGTGTGGTAAATTGTGCGTGGTGGATTTACGTGGTCCTAAGTGTAGTTTCCTATAATTAAGTAGAGAGGGGACTCTGGCGTTACGATCGCTCAGCCACCACAGGAATGATGGGCAGTACACTAATTTGCCTAGTCTTTGTGCTTGCGGGCTTTCAACATACTTCTAGCTTTGCTTATCCCCATGTTTTGGCTTTGTTTCAAACTCTGAGCCTATTTGAATTGGTGACCCTAAAAAGTTTAAGTGGCAAAGTGCAGCTGCTTATTCTTTGCTTATTTTCATCTTGTGATAAAGTGGCGCCAGGCCATGCAAACCCAAACGGAGCTAGAAGATTGAAGACTAGGCAAATCCATGGTAGCTGAAGTGCCATGTGTTCCAGCTTCCATAGGCAGTAGCGCTAGGGTTCCCTCTTGTATATTTATGGGAAACTATCGTCTTAAATACAAAATTTCTGCAGCGTGAAAAAAACGAGATAAAAAAAACTAGGCTTGAGGAATGAATGTTTCAAATGTTTCGTGAAGCTGGTAAAATATTAGGGGTGTGCAAATTATGCGAGGGCTTAAATTATGTGAGTAAATATGGTAGTCATACTGGATATTCATACCTGAATGTTAATTAAAGCATGAACTGAAGCTTGTAGCTAAGCCAGTGCCCAGAGTTCACACGCTGTACTGCTCTCGACAAGTAATTAAGACTGTACTAGCTTAGTGATGTAGCAACACAGTATTCGAATTTGTTTCTAATTGAATTTCAATTGTTGAAAATTTTAAAGTATTCTAAACAAATGAATAGGTGTACATTGATCCTCCTGTAACCCCTGTAAAGACGGTTCCACTTAAGCAAAGTAGTGTTATGTCTTAAAACCTAGGCTTGTGCGAGTATTTGAATGCCTCGAATATTCGAACGAATAGTAGAGTATTCGAATTCGCTTCGATATCGAATTTAAATATCGAATATTTCGAAGTATTCGACATGTATATGTGTTGTAAACCGCACGTAATCACTTTTAAAAGTGGCTTCACTGCAGTATAGTAGTGCTAAACCATGAAAGCATCTATTCAGAAGGAATTTGCTCTGCTGCGAAGCCCCACTTCAAATTTAAAGGGGCACTGCAACACTTTTTGAGCATGGTCAGCCAACGCTGCCGATACGGTAGTCGAGGCTACCGAGAACACGCGAGCTAAATATTATAGCGCAGCACGTGACCTGAAACTCTCAGTAAATTCTCACTGTCGGATAAAAATTGCTCTATTCTCTGGGCAAATGACGCCACAATGCCAGATATCGCTCATCGCAACGATTGTAGCAGCGATTGAGCTGATTGAGCATGGGGCGCTCGGTTGTTACTGAAGCCGCTGCGCGTGGCCACGACATGTCCAAGCGTACATGCATGATCGCTCTGAAAATTCGAGTATTCAAAGAAAAAAGAAAAGAGAGAGAGAGTGCTCAGGGTCACGACAGGCAAGTGACTTATTTTCCTTCCCTATGCCATTCCTTGCTGCTTTGCTTCAAGCACTTTCTTCGAAACGAGGAGAGAGAATGCAATTGCAACATGTAGCTAATCTTTGTGCCTCCGCTCATACAGGACAGGTTCGAAAAATTTTTGCGGCGGTTAATTCGTAAGGCAATAATCTTATTGAGTGAATAAATTGTATGGCAACTCGAAAAACTGTTGGAGGATTCCTTGAGATAAACATATTATCCTCAATTCGATTACTCATTTTCTAATCTTAAAAGCTTGTTTTGCCGGCTTATACACTCTAGCAGTAATGAATAGTGTTACGTATTTTACAGGTTATCACTTGCTTTCTACTGAAAGTCAAATCTTGCTATTTCTCAAAGTTGTTTGAACTTCCTTTGATTGGAAAAAAAAAAAGCTCTTGCATTGAGGTATTGTTAAATATATATATATATATATTGTGCAGGTTAGTTCTTTACACAACATATTTTCTATTAAAATTCAATTGCAAATTATTTGCCCAAAATCACTATTCGCTTCGATCCTAAAATATCACTATTCATACAAGCCTAGTAAAAACACGTATACAGAAGAAATCAGCACTGCTGCGACGCCCTACTTCAAAGTTAAATGATATATTACCCTCACATCTAATAATTCCTCAAGTTTAAAAGCATGTTATACCGACTGATATGCTCAAGGTATATTCAATTTTAAACGTAGCATATTTTACAGGTTATTTATTACTTGCATTCTACCGAAAGTCAAGTCCTGATACTGTTTAAAGTTGTTTCCATTTCCTTCAAGCAAAAAAGTTACATTTGCACAGGCATTGTTTCAGTTAAGTAATATTGTGTAGTTTAGTCAAGTCATGACAAATACAGAGGTTTTTTTTTTTTTGTAATATGGGATATATATATATATAATCTTCGAATTCACTTCGAACATAAAATTCACTGTTTGCACAAGCCTTAAAAAAAACAAAAAAAACACTGAGACGTAGATGGCGTTGTCTATGCTAAGCTGGTCTTGTATGGATGATAGTGTAGCAACCAGTGCACACTAATGAAATTCTTGTGTGATGTACATTTTGTATTGCCGGCCACTTGAATGCTTGCCTTGATGCTTGCTTCCACCAGTGCAACATGAGCAGGTGTACGCCCAGCACGACGCTACATATGGCCGAAAAGCACAAGACATTTCTCAGGGACTTCGACAAGGAGGCACATTACTCCACTGTTCGGTCAATGGTGGAAGCTTCCGACTTCTTTCGGCTATTTCGGTGAGCTAGGCTTGCACCATTTTGTCCCGCCTTCTTTGTTTTAGAGTGGAACCCCGTGACACATTTTCTTTTTCTCACACGCAAAGAAAAAACGGAAAGTGCTAGTTGAAAAGCAGGGAAATCCTTTTTAAGGAGAGATGCTACTCGAAGACACTTTTTTTTTTTAATATTCATCCTAGAGCAATGAAACTTGAGCTTTTTATGCTTATTTCAAATATATAATTAGTTTTCTTGCAAGTTGCTTACTTTTAGCTCTGCGAAATGGCAAAGTGAAAACCTCAATCATTTTGCCCCCCCTCTTTTCATTCCTGAAATTCCGTAATTTTGTACCATTCATAGTTCATAATCTTTGAAATAAAGTGTAGAATGCAAATAACTAATTAGGAAGCACATACAAAATATGAAATAGGCATGAAAAATAAGACGTAAAAAGTCCATATTTCACCCACTCCTAGTAAAGGTTTACATAGAATATTTTTTATTATACAATAAAATAATTAAAATTTAAACTAGATAATTGCATTCACCATACTTTGGAAAAAAATTGGGCAAAATTCATGCAGATCCGAGCACTAGAAGTGCCCGAAAAAAAAGGGGCACATTGAGAAAAATTTGTGTTTTGAAAAAAAAAAACGAGTTTTAAAGTTAAAATTGAGTTTTTATTTATGAAAGATATCATTAAATGTTGATGAAATTTGCACACCAAAAAGAACAACCCTTCTTGTAGTGGCTACTGCGACTAAAATACTCCAGCCCCATGAGTTTGTCCCCTCTCGTCTTTTTCAAGCCGACTCCTCACAGACATTTCGCTCACAGACAGGGCCATGAAACGCTTGCCAAACTTCCGCTCCATCTGGCAGAGCCTTGTGCCAACTGCTAGCTAGGAAGAAGTTCTACAGGACTGCGAAATCCAAACTAAGTCCAGTGTCATGGCATTTTGCGGCCATGTTTGTGCCACATACCGTCCTACATAATGGCAATGTCGTCCCTGCTAAATTCTCTCACTTCCTCGCAAGATTGGTGCTGACATGATCCATTGCCGCATCACGAACTTTCCGGCTGACGGGTGTGAATGAATTTTGATGAATTGGTTTTGATTTTGATGCATTGATCGCAAGTTTGGAATTGATCGCAAGATGGTTTGATTTTGATGCATTGGTCGCAAGTGAAAGCCACACAACGGCTTTCACTTGCGAGCAATGCTTTTTTCCTTCATAACGGAGATAATTACACGAGAATAGCAATGTTCAGCTGTGCTGCTCGACAAAACACGGACCCCGCAAATAGGTTTCACAGCACATACAGGTGCACAGCGGCCAATGGCGGCCCCCGATCCATACCACGTCATAAGCAAGTCGCGGCGCTCGAAAAACGCACAGAACATGCTTCTTTTTATTATTTCTTGCGCTGCATCAGCGAGGGAAACTGTTGTGCTTGAAGAGTGAGGCTTGACTCTTCGGCTAATGCGTCAACAATGGCAAGCGGCGGTGCATTATCTCGGCGGCAAGGTGCTCGAAGGCCGCACACTTTGGACGTTTTAACAGGCACCTTGTGCTCTTTAGATTGCAATTTTAAAGCATTTCCAGTTAAGTCTCGACCTATTTTTTTTTTTATAACAGTAGAGGTACTAATCTTATCAAAACAGGGAAAAAAAACTGGTAATTTTGAAAAAAACTCGCGTTTTTCGACCCGTATCTCCCTTTAATTGGAATGCTTAAACATGGAAAAAACTGCAAAGCCATATGGAGCTACTCAAGCCTGACCAGCAGATTTTTAGCACTTTCTTTGCCAGGAACGCTGCATTTCACAACTTACTTTAAAATCTTGACCGGTTTCTAGTAAACTTGCCGAGTTTCATACAATTGTGCGCCTATTTGAAGTATGCAATATTTTTTTCTAGTCGATAATGTAAAAGAGGAAAGCTGCTCCATGCTGCTCCAAACAGTAATTGCTCCAAACTTGCTTTGAAATGACACTGGGAGAATGAGGATGACAAATTTTCACTGTTTGACCGACTCATAAGTCCTAAATAAAAACACGAAAAATTCTGTATACGATCACCCCAGTGTGCAACTAGTGTGTAGCATTATAGACTCTCATGTTATTTGTGCAAAAGAACTGGCATATCAAGCATATAGCTCCATGTGGCTCTTACTTTTTATCAGCTGGACATATGCAGGATCGTATGGTGAAAATGAGCAGGATCGCTTTTATCTAATACCGATTATGTACCGCTTATTTTGCAACAGTTAATTGAGGCTGTGGTTACTTCGAAAATTTGGCACTTAGCTTTTCCGCTTAGCATTTCTGCCACACAGTCTAGTATCGTAAATTGTAGCTAATTTCACAGCACATATTGGCCACCTGCCATTGTTTACTTCATGAAATTTACATTGTTGTACGTTAAACATACTTCATAAGAAATATTAATATTTACGAGATGCTTCAACAACGCTATGAACTACAACTGGCAAATTTAATATATGTATGGCCAACTTAATATCTACTCCTAAAACACCAATAGTTGCTATAACTTTCATCTTTTTCTGCTCCAAAAACACATGGCTGCTCCAAAGCACTGCTTTCTCTGCTCCTAAGTGTGTTCCAAAAAGCAAAAAGTCGCTTCCATCAGTGTGTAACTTTTAATATCAGACACTTCATCTGCCTTATGGCATCAAGATGTTTGCTTAACTGAGACAGCTACAAACTAATGGCCTTTCTCACTGGGAGATTAGAAGCAGCCGCTAAAAGTGGAGCGAACACTAGGTTTGGACCAAATTGAATCTGCCTGTGCAACACGGGAATGCTCTGCATGAAGTCAAACTGGAATTTCGTTATGCACAGGTCGCGTAACCATTTCCGCAAACTATTATTGCTTCCCCTTTTTCTCTGTTACATGGCCACCCCTGTTGCTGCTGATAGGCGCAACCAACGCTGCTCGCAGATCGACAGAAGCGACATATGCTACTTGTCTTATTTCAGCCCATGACTTGGCAGTAGAACAAGTGAGAGTGATCCGTTGTGGAGTGAGTCTCCCCGCACCCGCAGTGCAAGGAAAATAACTCCTGCACTCAGTTGAATGGTAATTTTCTAAGCTGTGGCTGTGCGTGCTTGACATGTTGTGTGTTGTGTCAAGTTTTTTTCCACGTCCAAAACAAATGTGCTCTTACGAAAGAGGCTCACTCATCGTTTTGATGAAGTAGCATTCTGTTTACTTGCGCACATGCCATGCCTGTTTTTCAATTCCCTGCTTCTTTTACAATTCCCTTGCGAATTGTGAGTAGACATGCTCTCATACTCCAACCCCTGTTTTTTTTTTCTGTTGATAGGAGGAAACTGACAACGTCACTCGGAGAAGAGCAGATTCTGGCCTGTTTCATGATAGCCCTGAAAGTGTGTAAGTAATAATTTGTTACCATATTGCCTTGTACTTTATGGTGACAGTATGTGAATTTAGTGCATTTTCTTGCAAGCCCTATTTTTCCTGTGGCGGTCTATGCTCTTGATTTGAGAGCTCGAGTACCAGTTGGACTAGAGTATGTGTCCAGTAGGACCGACCGTGACCTTCTCGGCAACCTTAAGCTTCTGCAAGTGCCACACAACTGTACTGTGTTGTCACATCCCCCGCCCTCCCACTTCTTTTCTCACTCTTTGAAAATGCTGGCACGTCTGTCTAATCAGTTTGGTCCTTTAGGCCTAGCTTTGTCAAGCCTTCAAACTAGTTTTTAAGTGTTTGGTTTGTGTAACCTACTGTGCTCAAGATGAAAGGATATTGCAGTACAAGCAAGCCTTGTAATGAGGTTTGTCATAATCTTACACTCTGTTGCAAGAAAAATAGTTTTCGGCTGCACGTTATCTGACCTTCACTGGAAGCGTTTGTTAGCTTTTCACTTTGCAGTGTGTTACCAAGTGCTAATGAAATTGCATATTTTCTAACAAGGGATTGTGGGGGGGGGGGGGGCATGGTTTATTTTCGTCGTTTCATGCGTATCTTGAGAATGTTCAGTATGGAGGAGTCGACCTGTTGGTACGTTCATTCAGTCTTAGTCTGCCGGTGGCATCACTTACTTGTGACCTCTTTCGTACTTGTCTCAGCTTTTCAAGAAATCTCAATTAAAGCAATCTTCAAAGCAACTAAGGCGGGGCAAACATGCGTGGTCCCGTGGATGCTAGTCCCGCATTTGCCTCAGTAAGCTTTGTAATAGAGTTCCTACTGACGCGTGTCTACATGTAGACAAGGGGGGGGGGGGGGGGGTAAGCGGAACAAAGAAGACAATCTTGCGGCTCAGCTGTTACGAACACGCTGTTTTCGCTGTCTCAAGGCGTACCTGTGTTGTTCGCGTTCTACCATGACACTGGTGGAGGTTCTGGGTAGCAACCCTGCATGAAGTCAAACTGGAATTTCGTTATGCACAGGCCGCGTTAACCATTTCCGCAAACTATTATTGCTTCCCCTTTTTCTCTGTTACATGGCCACCCCTGTTGCTGCTGATAGGCACAACCAACGCTGCTCGCAGATCGACTGCTGATAGGCGCAACCAACGCTGCTCGCAGATCGACAGAAGCAACATATGCTACTTGTCTTATTTCAGCCCGTGACTTGGCAGTAGAGCAAGTGAGAGTGATCCGATGTGGAGTGAGTTGCTCCGAAACAAACTGTGAAATACAAATTCACCACCACGAAGCGAGAAATCTTGCTTTGGACTTACCAGTGAAAAATGCCATAAATCAGTATATTGTGATAATTCAAAATGAAAGCTGTATACAGTAAAATCAAATCGATGTTTCAAGTCTGTTTAAACATAAGTTATGTGTTCTACACTCACAACTTAGTCTATTATTCAGGCTGGCGGTTCACTGTCCACTGTCTGGTATTTTCCAACAATTGTTTATTTCAGCAGGAATGATTCCCAACTACCAAGGGCTTGATGAAATAAAGGCATTGATCTGGTGAAGTCATCACGTGTACTGTCTAGCAGATTGTACTGGGTCAGATAGATGATTTAGGATGGTGCTTACTTTTTTTTCCTCTTAATTCACTCATGATCAAAAATGCTCCATGTACACTCATGCCTTTGTTGAAAGTGTTTCCTCGTGCCTTCACAGCGGCTTTGCAATTGTGTGGGGGTTACCTGCAGGTTTGTGTGCACTGTGTGGTTTTGTGTTATTTGCCAGCTTACTAGAAGCTTCCACTTAAACAGTTGAGCCTGCTTATAATGAACCTCCATATAAAGAATTTCTGTATATAACGAAGTTTTTCTATTCCCCGCCGTCACTCCTTGGGAGCACATGTATTTGCGATCTCTACGTAACAAAGTAACTGAGGGATACAACATTGATAGAACGAATTTTCCCCACGGACAATCTAGGAATGTTCCTCTGCATTTCGGCATTTTGGTACGAGCATGCATCTTCAGCCGCTGCCCTGCCGCCGCCGAAGCGCGAAGCGATGGCAGGGGGTACGTGGGCTGCGTCCGCGTGAGGCGGGCAGGCGGGCCTGCGCCTTACGAGCCAGTGTTGCCCCCTTTTTCGCCGCCGCGTGTGCGGGTCTGCCCCCCCCCCCCCCCCCAAACAAATAAACAAAACACTACTTTTGCGCGTTGGCAGTGCCGCACTTTTAGTTAGCATCACATATGTGGGGCCGTGCTGCATATGGAGGGCGCTTTATCGAATAGTTTCCGCGGTAACTGTGTCTGTGTCGTTCGCTCTTCGTTTTTGACGCCGTGCGCGGGTGCATGGTTTCACTGCGCGCATGGTGTGTCCTCGGGCGACGTTCAGCTTTGCTCTTTTTTTATTGTGATAGCAATTATGTATGTGGGCAGTTTCGGCTGGGTTTTTGCCGCCTCCACCTTCATTCGCTGTATATGTATAGTATGTGTATACGTACCCATATATATGAAAACTCAAAAAAAAAAAAAACCCTCCCGCGCTTGGCGCTCAGGTCGTCAGGATGTACAACTTTGACCGAAAGGATTGCCTTTGCTCTTTTCACACAGTCCCTTTGCGTTGAAACTGCACTGATTCTCGCTTGTGAAAGTTGCAATGCGCGGGAGCCTGTTGTCAATTTGGAATTGTTGCACAAGATGGTGGCGACAGCAAGAACCCGTCGACAGTGTCCATAAATCGCACAAATAACGCAGTTTTTGACTGTAAAATGAGTGTTTGGGGTTAGCTCTGCCTTCAGTCCACCTTTTGTTTAATTTGTCTGTTTATTTTCCTAATTTTCGTACCGAACCTGCATATAAAGAAAACCTCTTTATAGCGAATTTTTCCGGGTATTTATCGATTTCGTTATATCCAGGTTTAACTGTATTAAATATGAATGCGACAGCAACAAATTGAAAGGTCACGCGCAGAATGGAAAGCAGATAAAAACATGTCCCGCGTTCCTCACGCACAAATGACACACAAAACGTACTCACAGGTATGGATGCACACGAATGAGTGTCTCATTTGTTACTTTGCTCTGTCTGTAAAGCACGCGCTTTTTGCAAACTGAGATTGCGATGATTTCAGTGACTTTTGTGCACCTGGTAACTACAGCAGAATCGTTCCACGTAAAGCCCGAGGCCAGCCAAGGCCTACGACCTTCACTCTCCTCACTGCTGTGAGATAAGGGCGCCTGAGGGAGCATGGCTCCCTTTCTCTAAGCAGGGCAAAGTATGCGTAGGAGATTAGAGCAGGCCCCCACCGCACGATGTGTCAATGCCCGCCCATTGCGCCATCTTGCTGATAATCCTGAAAACACTATTCCCCCTTGAGATGCTCGGGAGTATAAGTAGCTTGCCGTTAAACGGTGAAGGATGTGCTCCGGGGTGGCTCAGTGCTTAACGCCTCGCGGTTATGACGCAGAGGTCCCATGTTCGATTGCGTGTGACGAAGTGTTTTTTCTGGATTTTTTTTCTTTCTTGCATTTTGATATATATAGATACGTATACATGTACGGTGCATGACATCGATGCCGGCGGCCAAATGCAGCCGAGAATGTCCATATAATTGTTATCGCAATAAAAAGCAATATTGCCCTGAAGGCTTTGCTGGCTTGCTTGCTGTGCGCATGTGCAAAACACCCGCAGTGCAAGGAAAATAACTCCTGCACTCAGTTGAATGGTAATTTTCTAAGCTGTGGCTGTGCCTGCCTGACATGTTGTGTTGCGTTTTTTTCCGAGTACAAAACAAATGTGCTGTTACGAAAGAGGCTCACTCATCGTTTTGATGCAGTAGCATTTTGTTTACTTGCGTACATGCCATGCCTGTTTTTCAATTCCCTGCTTCTTTTACAATTCCCTTGCGAATTGTGAGTAGACATGCTCTCATACTCCAACCCCTGTTTTTTTTTTCTGTTGATAGGAGGAAACTGACAACGTCACTCGGAGAAGAGCAGATTCTGGCCTGTTTCATGATAGCCCTGAAAGTGTGTAAGTAATAATTTGTTACCATATTGCCTTGTACTTTATGGTGACAATATGTGAATTTAGTGCATTTTCTTGCAAGCCCTATTCTTCCTGTGGCGGGCTGTGCTCTTGATTTGAGAGCTGGAGTACCAGTTGGATTAGAGTATGTGTCCAGTAGGACCAACCGTGACCTTCTCGACAACCTTAAGCTTCTGCAAGTGCCACACAACTGTACTGTGTTGTCACATCCCCCGCCCTCCCACTTCTTTTCTCACTCTTTGAAAATGCTGGCACGTCTGTCTAATCAGTTTCGTCCTTTAGCCCTAGCTTTGTCAAGCCTTCAAACTAGTTTTTAAATGTTTGGTTTGTGTAACATACTGTGCTCAAGATGAAAGGATATTGCAGTACAAGCAAGCTTTGTAATGAGGTTTGTCATAATCTTACACTCTGTTGCAAGAAAAATAGTTTTCGGCTGCACATTATCTGACCTTCACTGGAAGCGTTTGTTAGCTCTTCACTTTGCAGTGTGTTACCAAGTGCTAATGAAATTGCGTATTTTCTAACAAGGGATGGGGGGGGGGGGGGGGGCATGTTTTATTTTCGTCGTCTCATGCGTATTTTGAGAATGTTCAGTATGGAGGAGTCGACCTGTCGGTACGTTCATTCAGTCTTAGTCTGCCGGTGGCATCACTTACTTGTGACCTCTTTTGTACTTGTGTCAGCTTTTCAAGAAATCCCAATTAAAGCAATCTTCAAAGCAACTAAGGGGGGGCAAACATGCGTGGTCCCGTGGATGCTAGTCCCGCATTTCGCCTCAGTAAGCTTTGTAATAGAGTTCGTACTGACGCGTGTCTACATGTAGACAAGGGATGTGGGAGGGGGGGGGTAAGCGGAACAAAGAAGACAATCTTGCGGCTCAGCTGTTACGAACACGCTGCTTTCGCTGTCTCAAGGCGTACCTGTGTTGTTCGCGTTCTACCATGACACTGGTGGAGGTTCTGGG